GGATGCATGTAGGGCAAACTATTATATTTAACAAGGTTAGTTTGAATTGGATTGGTTACTTACTGAGCTTGAAACCACTTCCGTCTCTTCTCTCACTTGAAAAATTATAAATGCACTTTTTCATGTATCACCTGAACTTTACCTGAAAATTACAATTTTGAATAAAATTTCTTTGAAATTATCATTATTTGGCAAGTCCATTTAAGATTTGTCTTGCAGGTGTTAATAAATGGAGTGTTTAATAATTTGTTCAAGCATTATTCTAAGTAGCAGCTTTACTCTGTAATTCTCTAGGCTGTTGTTCAGAATGTTTGCCCCTTTTGGGTTGTCTTGGACTTCTCTTTCAAGTTCTGTAAATTAATTAAACCTATGTATGAAACTTATAAAATTGTAAGTTACCACTCTAACTCCAGAGCTTGCTTGGTGTTCTGGATGCCTAAGATGTCCTGAAGCTACAGAGAAGAAAAAGAGACAACTAGTCACAGAGAAAGAACAAAACATTTACGAAGAAAACAAAGGAAATATTACAAAATTTCTTCACGATTTTCCTGTGTTGTAAACACTAGTGGTACTCCACTGCTCTTCCCTAAAACAATCTAATTAACGTCTTTTTCCTGTTCTGAAGGAAAATCGGCCTGTTGTACCAAATGCTTACTCTCCATGTTTTCAAGAACTTGAATTTTGCCTCAGTAGGGAATACTTTAATCTTCCATCACATGTGCAAGCTCTTACATGTCAAAATACATTTTTTTCTTTGCAACAGAAGTTTGATATTAAATAAGCAACTGTTCTAAGAGGCAAACGATAAAAGCCTGCTGAAGTGCTTGGAAATACTGAAATGCTGGTGCTCCCTCTTGTGGTTTAACTAAAAGAAGACAAACCAGCGAAACTGGCTCTAAGCGTGTGGATATATTGGCTCCAGCAACAGGAGCTCAGCTGGAGATTATGACGAGGTAAAAGGAGAAGCTATTCTTACTTTGAGAAATCTTCATTTTCATCTGCTTAGATGATCAGAAAGTGCCAAACCCCTGTGTTGCCTGGTGATGGAGGAGCCACCCTCTCCTGTGCTGCTCTCAGAGCCTGGCTGGCAGAATAAGGTGCAAAACTGAGTATGCTGTACTGGTCTTCTTATTCTCTTCTGTCTGTCACACAGCCATTTACCTAAAAGTTTTACAGATCCACCTGCAAGGATTAAATCTGAATCAAGGAAACTCCATAAGCATTTGGTACATTGTTTTTCTGGATTAATATTTTGGATAGTTTGATTAGTAATCCATTACTGGAAATGCTTGTGACTTATCAAGAATCTGTTTCTTGAAGAAAGTATTCGTTTGTGTATTCCTATAAAATAAAATAAAATTAACTTAGCCACATTTATTTTGTAACAAATATGTTTTCAGCTGGTTCATCCCTGCTATCTCATTCTAGCTTTGTTTTAAAGTTATTAGACTTCAGCTGTCCATTTACTCATGAGTGTTTGAGGGGATTTAGCTGTGAGGGTTGGTGACAAATTTGTGTTCTGATAGCTAGAACTGAAAGTCACCAGACTAATCACTAACTAAATCATGCATTAAATAAAGGCAGTTTTAAATACCTACATGGACTATGGCTACACTGATGGCTTACAGGTCTGAGAGACCGTGTCAGTCTGGTGACTACTTGACACATATCCCATTTACAGGAAATCCTGGATATATATGTATGAGAAGCTTACAGTACTTGCTAAACTTAACAAAACAAGCATGAAACAGTTAAACATAAAAGAAAGGGCAATTTCCAGACTCCTTGTTCTGATTCCCAACTAGAGCTGAGACTAAGCCCAAGACGTTTTGTATCCAGAGAAGTGTTTTCTTCCGTTTCTCTATGCACAGCAGTAGGAACTAGTGAAACAGACTGCAGACACACTGCAAGACTAGGACATGCTCATTTTTTCAGTGTATTTTGCAACAGCCTATGACCCAAAGCAGAGCAGAGAGTCTCGGGATTCGTGAGATTTATTTCTGGAACAGTGGCAGTGTTTAAAGAGTATGGCATAGCTAATCACTGAGACTTGGCATGTCTAGTTCAAAGTGCGCCACAGGACTGTGCATTCCATTTGATTCAGTCATTTGATGAAAAATCATTTCAGTAGAAATATTGAGGTCAGAAAGAACATTTCTGTAGTGAAAAAAAAGACCCAAAGAATGTGACTGACTGATTTCTCCTGTTGAGTGTGTAAACTTAGAGAACAGTATCCCACCGTTATTGATATGATGCTCACATCATTGTCCAGTCCTGTGTAAATGTAAAGGTTTATGATGCTCCGGTTTTCCAAACTGTAAGTAACCTTAAGTAGACATTCTACAGAATTGCACGAAGCAAAATCAAACTGCCATAAAGTTCATGTGTGGCACTAATTGCAATTTAACTGCATGGTTATTACAAGAGCTTTTAATTAACCCAGTCATCATACTGTGGCATACAAATTGTGCATAATAACAGCATGCTGAGTATAATGACAATAGGTTTGTCTGAACTGTGAAAATCAGGAGTTTTATCATTTTCTGAGGTTTCTTTTTATGCCCTTAAATATTGTGCAGTATTTAAGAACATTTGACCAAAATAAAGAAAACAAAGCAAAACCAGAAAAAAACCCCTACCAAGTGGCTAAAGCTTGTCTGTTTTAAAATTTTATAAGAGTCTTTAATTATTCCTGAAATTCAATGAGATGTGTAATTCTCTGCTGTATATTTGGGGGGATTTTTCAGTCTCACTTTTCTTAGGGTATTTTCAGTCCTTTTTGAGAATCATTTTATATAGTCTTTTAGGATTTTGTGTTTGAAGCCAAGAAAAATGCTCAGTGTGTGGAAACATGCAGTGGGAATACTCTTTCAGTGAAACTGGAAGATAGTAAGAATATGTTCTGATCGGATATTGCTGCAAAATGGTCATTTGTTAGATCATTAGTGTAGTGAGACCATTCCCCTTCTCTCAAAATTATAATGCCAGACTGTGTCTCTCAAGACTGGTGGTAATAGAACTGAATGAATTTTTACTTGGAAGGTTAATTTTGCAGTCCAAAGACTAAAAATTAAGAAACAATGTAGATAATGAATATAGTTGTAGTCTTTCAGAAAACACGGGAAATACAACTAAGTGGCGTTATACCGTGTACTCATTCCTGGAGATCTAAAGAATGCATACAGAAAAAAAAAAAAGCAGACATTATTATGGAAAGTGTGTTAATCTATTTTTTAGGCTATCATCAACCCTGTAGTGGGAAATGAGATACTGACATTTTGATTTTAAATTATTTGGCTCACAGAGAGAACAAGCACCCGAAGGCAAGATAAGAGTATATGACCATTCCATGTGCACAAGTTTGCTGGAGGGACTAGGTGAAAATAAAGACTGGGCCAGTGAAGGAGGCAAAAGTACATTTGGCATGCGTATACAGTTAATGGTTTAAACATGACATAAAAGTGACAACCACTAGTGAACAGTTAAAAAAAGACAGATTGGGTTCCGCTGGGTGAGTGATACAATTGTGATTGTAGCAAACACAAGAGCCAACACCACGCAAAGCCAGCCTGGTGAGTCAGTGGTCCCAGGGGTTTAAAAATCAGAGATATGAGAAAGGTAACAGAGAGGCTGACATCATCATTGTACATGCTGAAGTAACTCATCCTGCAGAAACTGTCTGAAGAAGTAAGTGAAGATTTTTGCTGAAGATTGGTGAGTCATGCACTGCTTTGTGGGAATGGCAGAGGTGTACGTGGTGCTCTACAAACACTTATTATCATTTAACTAATGTTGATTTCAAAAATTTCAAAAAATAATGAGTCTTACTTGCACTTTTCTCATTAATGTGTGTGATGGTAACTTGAAAAATGAGATTTGCTTTCTCTGTTCTTAGGTTTGAGGATATAAAATGCAACAGGAAACAATAATCCTTGTTGTATAACATATACACCTGTTTTCTCATGGTAGCATTTTGAATAGGTTTCTGCTTCAGAAATTGGATCCCTGTCTTAGAGCCAACAGCAGTGTCCTCTTTCCCTTTTCTTTTAAAAAGCTGACTACCTATTGAAACAAAGTTTTCATAAATCACATACAGTATTAGTTTTCCAGTGGTGCATGTGTGCTAGCTTACACAAAATATGTGCTGTTCAGTCTGCTTAATATCTTGCCTGATGTGATCTCCATCATGAAGTATCTCTTATTTAATAAATATGTATGGCCCTAATTATTTTTATTCAGTGACTATGAAGAATAATGAGCTATGAACACAAATTGATATCCTGTATCATACGAAATGCTCAGTATCACATTTTACAAAGAAGAAAATGGGAGTTCACATGAATTTGTATATGTTGACATCTAGATCAGAAAGCCATATAAATAAAATCCCTTGATATTTTCAATATCTATGATTCAAATCATTAAATTTACATCTTGGATCATTAAAATGATATCTTGCGAAGTTGTAATGCAAGTTTCCACCATGGTAACTGTTCACTATATGCTCTGGGTAACTGTGCTGAACATGCCATAATAATTCATCAACCCTGAAAGAAATCACAAAGTTCATTGCATATTAAAAATGTGATTGCGGTATATTACAGAAAAAATGGAAATATGCTGCTGTTCATCACACATCATGTTCTCTAAGGTTACTGTTACTGTCTGCATAAAAATAGTCTTTCCTTACAGGAAGAAAAAAAGCCGTCATCAATAAAATACATGTGGTGGCTTGCTTATACACCTGGTATGCCTTCAAAACAAATGGTTTTGTTTGTTTGTTTTTTTTTTTTCTATTATAAAATGACTAATTTTGTGTTTTACTGCATTCATTGTGGATATAGTGTTGAGAAGTATGATAATTAATGATAGTTTATTAAGCTTAATGTCCACAGAACTTTATTTCTTATTAAAATGGACTTAAACTGAATTGAGAAATACATAATAATTTTTGTTTACATGTGTTCTTTCCTTTTTCTTGTGGCTTTTTTTCCTTTTAGGTGAACAAGGTATGCGGTCCTCCTGTAAGGAAGGCTACACAGTCTCCGGGTTGCTCCTTTGATCAGGACAAAGATATTCAAGGGTTGAAGATGTTCTCAAGAGACAGTAAAGAAACCCTCACCAACAGAAGAAAGTAAGACATTAGTTTTACAGCCAGAAAGAAAGAATAAAGTAAGCCATTAATTTTACAACAGAATAGATTATATTCAATGTAGTGTCATGCATTAGTAGAGAATAAAGAAAGCCTGCAAAGTACACAGCATTTAGGCAACACAATCTACTCTGTTACATTTTGGAAAGAGTAATTTCATGGCTAGATTTTGTTCTCTGAAGTAATGGATGTATGACCAGAGTAATTTGTTGTGGTTTATAGTATTTAAAAGAGTGGATAACACTGGTAGAATATGAATGTTAGCTCTATCTTTATGTGTACATTTTCAAATTACATTTAACTTGCACATCAGCAGGCCTTATTAAATCTGTCAAAAAAAAGAAATTGTGACATTTATCAGAAGACTATCTGTACAAATAGATCAGACAGAAAAAAAAAAGTATGACTGTTCTTACATAGCTTTCTACTGTAAAAAATGAGACAACTAAGTATCTGGGGCTAAATGCAAGTCCAGCTGATTTTTTTTTTCCGGCTCTTTTGCCAGTATATAGTGAATTTAAGTGACTGCAAAGACTTAGAGATTTGATTTATACCTGGCTCGGCATTGCAGGGTAAAATTTGCCTAACTGCATATGAGCTAGGTGTCTGAGCTGCCATTATAGTCTGTGGATCGGAAGACTCAGTTCAGCTGCCCACACAACTACATGCATCCAGTGCCACTTGGGGGTATGGGTATCCCAACTCATCTGCTGCTGCCAAGAAGGATGCAGGTGTCCTGTAAGTTGTGTCGTTTATTCCAGTCTTCTGCAGATATCCTGAATAGCTGAAGGAATCTCAAAGGCCAGTCTATCTTTAGACAAATTCATCAAGTCTTCAATGACTGTAAGGAGTAATAGCACCATAAGAAGTAAGGATAGCATTACAGTTAAGACTAAAGGCCCTATTATGCAAATAAATTACAATTTTAAAATCAGAAATTTAATTTCTATCACGGTGTTTGCTAAAATACAGAGAGATTTCCTTTGTCCTCTTTTTCCTTTCTTTTCACTTTCAGTGCAGAAGGAAACTGAAGTGAGAGAATTGCAGGGAGTAAGTAAGTGCTCACTCCTGATGTCTGGAGAAGAAAAACAGCCACTGAGCTTCAAAGGCAGACCGTTCTTGTTAGTGCAAGGTCCTTCATCTTGCAAATGGTGGGGGAAAAAAATAAAAACCAAAAGACAAACACAGGTTTTAGAGAACACTGTGGGAATGGGAAAAGATGCAAAACAGACATTTGCTTTAGCCAGCACAGAAGTTCATCAGGCAACACCCGTTATACAGGCATGTTTTCCCTTTGTTATATAGCTAAGCAAGTTCTTGATGTGTTCTGACTGCTAGGACTTGGCAAATGTGAAACCGTGTTCTGAAATCTCACTTAATCCAGGACTGTTCCACATTTCAAAATAAGTGGTATCTGGGTTGACCTCAGGGAGATTGCCCAAAAGACCTTAAGGGGCAGCAGAGGCAGCGGGCAACACAAAGCAGTGTTATCTTCCCGTGACAGATGATGCCAGACTGAGATGCTGGAAGCAGCATTTGTGGCATGTAACAGGCACTACACCAGAAAGGGGAAGGGGGAGAAAGTTTGATATCCATTGACACAGATTTCAGTTTAAGAACTTCATAGTTGGTATCATCTTCATTTGCTGCCTCCTGGATCGCCTCCTTCCTTATTAGTCACAATCGCTTTATATTTCACTTTATATTCCCATGGCAACTGTAACAATTCCTCACACAGAAGAGGGACTTCAGCAAATGCTTGCAGCCTGCTTTTAAGAAAGTGCTGTTCTATGAGTCTCACTCCACTTTATTTACCTCCCATGTACTTCTGGCAGCACATTGCTCTCGGCAACATTCACAGGCTTTAGCAGAAAAGAATAGGCTTCTCCCAAACTGTGTAGACTCGATCGATGACAGTTATCTGAGGGAAAACAAATGAACAAAAAGATGCCATTAAATGTGTGATTCCTAAGAGTTCCCTGATATCCTAATATTTTTCAAATGCATCTTCAGGTGAAAGTTTACAGTTTAAAGTACATGGTTTAAAGCCTCTGTCTAAAATTTTCCTAAATTATTTTTACCATTACACCTAAGCCAGTATGTATTTTCTAGTACTATGTGGTACAAGAAGAAAAGAAAATTTCTCTGTGCTTTTGACACCAAAAATTGTCAGATGAATTTTAAAAAAATTCTGAGCAGAACTTTCCATAATAACATACAAACCTGAAAGTATATAATGCATTTTACTCCAGAACTCAACACTGCAGACAGCTTTTAGCACAGAGAATATAATTGTAAAAGAAATGAACATTTCCAAATAAATAGATAAGAAGTATCTGCAGCCTCCATGGACTGTAACTGCACATTTGTGCTCAGCTGACTATAATTACATGCTATCTGGTCTAGAGGATGATGATGTAAAAATTGACATTCATACCATCTGCCCTTCTAATTACTTTGGTCAGACATCAACAGGGGCTGAAATCAGTTATTACTTCTGTGTTAACTTTAGCTTTGCCTCGGGATGTATTTACTAATAAATTGAATGACCTTTCATTTAGAATGCAGTTTGTCACAAGATATTATGGCAGCTATATTTATTTAAATTTCTGTGTTATACATGGATTGATTGTGCAGAAGAAGAAATTCCAACTATTTAGTATGAGAGGGCTCTCTAATTGCTAGTTTTCATCCAGAATGTAAACACAAAGCATAGACAAAATCAAAATCAATCCCACTCGATGGGAAATGAAGAAAAATTGCAATCATACTGTGCACCCTGGATGCAATTTTGGGGATGGAGAAATACAAGATATGACTATTCATGGCTGGGAGACTGTGGATGGATCATACTTACATATTTAAAATATATTGCACATAGGCAATTATATGAATCATAGTCAAAATTGACCCTACCTGAGATTTTCAGAACTGCAGTTTTAGACTTAGTAGGGCATTCATATCATGTTTAATAGGCACAGTCAATCTAAATCACTATGATTTGTGTAAAATATTTGCCCTACATTTACAAGAAAGAACGTGGCTTTTAAAATGACAGATTGTGTGTAATCACTCATGTTTTATCAGTTTTAATTTGGAGTAACCAATACTTAACAATTTAATTCCTTATGCTGTTTTAGGTCCACATTGACTAAATATAAGGAAATGTATAGAATATCTCTGGCATTTTTTCACAACTCCAGACATGGTACAAGAAGTTAACATGAAGTGAAGCTTGCTGGCTTACAGAGCAATGAGTATAGCATTTGCTGGTGTCTTTCTTTGTGCCTGCGGGTCATAGATAACTCCGTGCAGTGTGATGTTCTAAACCAGAATGAATAAATATTTTAATTTTTCACAGCAGGAATGAGTCTCCCAGGAAGAGAATTTCAATACATATGCAAACAATTTATAATCATAAATATCACAATGCAGTTAAAAACATACTAACTAAAAAGTTATTAATTTAAGTACAAAAAACTTATCATTAGCTCTGAGCAACTTGACAATTATTTAAAGTAGCAATACATAATTTATAATCTACCAGCACAGCACATGATAAAACTGATGTAAATTTTCAGACATTTATTTAAATATCCACTAAATATTTAACACTTGTATCTTAAACCCATCTTACCTAAATCTTGAGTTGCTCCATAACTGTAACAAATACTCTTTGTAGCAGTTGTAACACTGTGTAAGGGATAACTTGATGACACTTACGAAAAGAGATGACTTGTTCATACATGCCTATTTTTTTATTTGTTGTGCTTTTTTTTTTGGAACATTTTTTGGTATATTTGTACAAGTGTAGCATTTCAAACTGTATCACAACTATGCAAGAAAATTTCAGGTTGGAGGAAAATAATTTCTGTTCCAGAGGATGAGTACTGTTTTTTATTTTGACCAATGAATGTATTAGCTTTGTAAACTACTGAAGTGTGTCTGAGAGAATCAAACTTATCTAACAGGAAATTGACAAATTGGTTTTAAAAAACCTTTGGAACCAATGGAGAGTAAAAAAAATAAACACATTCTTTATCTTCTTGTAGAAACACAGAACAGTACTGCCTAATATTATTGATTGACGCTGTCAATTATTTCCCATGTTCCCCTGTGCAGAGAATTTATCAGCCACCTCCGGCTCTACAGGGCCTTTTACGGCGGCCTGGCTGATCAGCTGTGCAGTAATGAGTTGGCAGCTGCCGATGGGCTCCCATGTTGGAATGGAGAAGACATTGTAAGAAGGTACCTTTCTGACTCAATTTTGTCTTTTCTTTTGTATTTTGTGTTTCTCTGAAGTAGTTTCCAACTTGAGTGAAGTACATTGTTTCCCTAGGTATGTGTCAAGGTTAGTTCAAAAAGCAAATCAGCATGGGTTTCCTTCTCTCAGGCTTCAACTGTAAACAGTAAAAAAAATCTGCCTGCATCTGTGTTTCGAGGAAAAAAAAAGAATTCTGTTGTCCTTCAGACATTTTTCCTTCAAATTTATGGCACCTGAACATATACTGGAAAAGAAAATGGATTGGCATTTACAAAATACAGTTGGAGAAAAAGAATATGGATTTTTGTTTGAGCTAGATCTTTATAAAATGCTTCTTTTAATAATACAGAGTGTGTGATAAGACTTGAGCTATTTGCTTAAAACTTTCTCTGGCTCTGAAGAAGGAAGTAATCTCTTAATATATATGGTTTCTCAGGAGAGAGCTAAAAGTTAAAACATAGAGATAAAACATTTTAAAGGTGAAACACATGTATTATTTTATGCATACAGCAGCTTGGGAGACATCATTCAGCAGCAATGGCAAAGAAGAGATAATAATAAACTGCTGTGCTCCTGGATATGTATGTCTGGAATCAATATATTTCACAGCTTACAAAACACTAGCATTTGTGGATGTCAGAAGGATTTTAAGAGAGCTGATTTCTCTGGTTTTGCTTTATTGCTCTCATCACCAAAACAAGTATTTCTCTGTGCAGGAAGTCCTTATGATGACAGAGACCAAAATATGAAAAGGTTCTTTACAATTATTTTTTAGTAAAGATCATGCTGTTAATACAGCATATATTAGTAGGCAGTATCAAAGGTATGAGGTGAATTAATAAAGTGGGAGATAGCTAGTACCAAGTAGAAGGAACACAGACAGCCTGTGCCCTCAGGTATCTCTAAAAAGGTTAGGTAGGAACTGTAATCTATTGATTAATGATATGTAAGGAAACTTAATGGATAGCCTTTCAGCGAACAGCTACAGGCCTACTTTTCCTTATCTTCTTGGGTAGTCCAATGCTTTGGCAGCACCAAAGCCCATTGAGTGGTTGACACCCTTGATAGTCTCATTGGGAACCTTTGTCCTAAGGTTTCAACCATCTTTTCCAGATGACATGTTACTTGTCTAGATGTCTGCCATGTAACGTCAACTTTACCTCATGGCTTTTGTTTTGCTGCTCTTCCCCAAATGAGTTATACTAATCCTAACGTGTTTCAGTAACAATTTGAAGTAAGGATCTTGTAATTCCAAATTTCCTAAGAACAAGATTCTTGTATCATTACTTTTGGCTGCTTATAGTCTTGCTATTAATAGTCTTACTATATAACATATATTTTATATATTTTCAAATCTATATTATTATATAATACTATTATACTTTAGTTCTTATATCCTATTATTATATAATTATTATTTATATGATGCTGTTTGATTTTGATTGATTAGACACTGAAGTCCTTATACAGAAATGAAACAATCTGATAAAATTTAGACCATAGTGATTTTTAAAGGTAATTTAATTTGACTAAAATTATTTAATTAATGCAATTTATTTATTTTTGGATCAACCTAAAGACATGATTTGTGACAAAAGCACTATATCTTTAAGAGAACTTTGATACTAGTTTAGTTTACAAATTTCCTGATTAAATATTTTGTTTTCATGTGTATATTAATATACGTACATATATTTATATCAGTAAATTTTAGTGTTAACTTCCTGAAAGAGCTGACATGTAGATAATATTTAGAAGTACTGCTGATTTAGAAGTATTTCTGATTAAAACCAGAACAGCAGGATACTCTGAGTTGCTCTAGGTTACCAACTGGAGCTGAGTCCTGCAGATTAGTTCCTACATCTCAATACCTCTACTTGTACACAAATTACATTGTGGTTCATATTCTCCTGCTTCGGTAGCTATATGAAGGTGCTCACATCTATCCTCTTCCTCCCCTTCATTTTGCCTTATTACTCAGTCAGAATGTCCTTTGTTCAATTTTACTTGTTTATATTTGTTCTTTTGTGACTGAAGGGGAAAAAAAATAATTCCTGCTCTTTGATTGAGATAATTTTTTTGTAACTATTAGTATTATTATTACTACAGAACTGTTAATTGAGGGAAAAATGGGCACTTTTCTTTTTGTGCTTGGACACATCTGTGTGCCTGCTATGAAAGTAAGGCACACGTGATGCAGGCATGCAGGAGAGGAGCACAAACATTGGGTGTGCAGTGCCTGGAGATTTCTCTTGGTTATGGAAAGTCAAACTCAGCCTCAGAAACAGCCTCAAACAGGTTCTGCAAATTCAGAAACAAGGAGGTTGTATCTGAGCATCAAAGGCTCCTGATCCACCTCACAGATTGTGCTGGGAAGTGATGTTTGAAATGGATCAATGAATCAATCACCTAGCAAAGAGATCTAATGGGAGATGAGCAGCATCAGAAGTGATTATGTTGGCAATATGGTGAGGGGAAATGAAGATGTCAGGCTTTGGGAATGTGGACTGGAGACAGTGAGCCTAACCACTGTTCAGGCAAACTGGATTAGAAGGGACTAGTAACATGGAAAAAACAGGGTGTGCAATTCAAAATTTTCCCAGTGAAACTTAGCCTGAGCCCAATTTTAGCACTGTCAGGAGAACTGTGGCATACTTGTAGAGTATTCCCAGAAGTATTTTAAGATCAGTTGAGAATCTAGGAAACTCAGCTTACAAAAAAAGAATCAGGGAATTATATTTGTTTAACCTGGAAAAGAAAAACTGCTGGGAGAAAATTCAAAATGCAGACAGTCTCTTGCTAGGTGGAAAAAAAGTATTTCTTACCTGCTTCCATAATGTCTAGGAGGCATAGCAAACATTTTTAAAATATTCTGATTAAATATTAGGGAGAGTTTTCTAGTGGCAAGGACAATAAGGGACAAAAATAAGTACTTTCAGGGTCTGGTGTCCGCCTGAAGGAGGATGTTTAAGAACAGGCAAGGCAAGGCACTGAGAAATGATGCAGAAAAAGCCGATTTTTCCTTAGAAATACAGAGATAAATTGGATAACTTCTTTAAATCTCCTCCAGCCCTCTGATTCTGAATCTAGGCTTATCTAAATCCTGCATTGCTCAACTTCTGTTACCGTGATCCCAGGACATAGTGGACATTTTAGAAGCAATAGTGACCTGAGCATGCATCATCGCTTTTCTCTGTAAAGACTGGAGAACACCTGAACCTGTACACTCACTCTCTTTTCTTCTTTTTTTCTTCCTCCCTGCCTCTAGTACAGTAATAAATAAAGATATTATTGAAAACCTGTGCAGTGTTCCTGGCACAGGTAGGGGGAAGGTCTACATTGTTCAAATTAGGTAAAGATAAATAGAGTTTATGTGTTTTGAGATTCTTTATCATTTCTGTCTGGTTTTGCCTTCTATTTAAAAATCAGATTCCATATCTGGTGGTGACTGTAATTTTGGGCCTGACATGGGAAAGGAATATCGTAAGCTGCATAATGCTGGTGTGAGTGTATCAGGATCTGAAGAGATTGCTACAACTGTTTGCTGTATCTGTGTTTCAAGCTGCAAGTAGCAATAAGCCCTGGAGACAGAAGATAGATCTGTTTTTAAAAAATCTCTGCAGTTCTTCTTTCTCCTTTGCTGTGCATTTCTTCTAAAGGAAATAGTTCAAGGTTTTAAGAGCTATAATATCATATCTCAGATAAATCTTACAGCCTTTGCCATCTCTAATACCATCTAAGAGATTATCAAACCTGGATGTGAAAAGGTCAGGGGAAAAAAAAAAAAAGAAGAGGGTATTATTGAAATGAAAGCTTACTTAACAGTTTACATTTCATATGCTTCAGCTGTTTCCTTTTTAGTTAATCCTTTTTTGTTTCTGTTGGGGTTGGTTTGTTTTTTTTTTTTTTTTTTTCCTAATTATAATGTCATGTCAATGTGGCCCTTGATTCTGAAACTAGGAACTGTTCTGAATCTTATCCTGTCACACAGTACAGGCTCATGCTTTTGTCAAAAACTCAGACCAGAATCCCCAACTTCCTATATTCATGTCAGACAAGATTGGCAGCGGGCAGGACTTGCAGGAGCAAGACTGCTCGCACAAGGTCCACATCACTGCAGAATGAGGGAGAGGATGTCTCAGAGGATTTTTCAGCCCTTCCACTGTTTTACCCAATTGTGTGACTACAGTAGTCAGGCACGAAATTCCAACTTCAGTTTTAAAGGCATAACTGAGTGCCATGATGAAGTTCTTGCAATTTAGTGTTATGGGATTCATTAGGTCCAATGGAAAAATAGGAATTCCAATTAATAGGTTATGTACTACCAAAGCGTACAAGAAGAATTGCATGCATCAGCTCAGAATTTCAGTGGCATCTTAGCATTAAAGAAAATTAACAGAAGTTGTGCAAATGAACTGAGATTGTTCTCATTCATGAACATAAAGTGGTTTAACTGATATTTGTACAGTTTTGGCAGTCCACAGTGCCTGGATAGAATGTGAAGAGAGATGGATTAAAAATCCACAGAGGAGAGCAGAATATGTACTGTACATCTTGAGGCCAGCAATTCCACTTAAATAAAAATAGATGTGAGAGAAGAAAATAGTAAAATTATGTGTGTTGAAGGATTCAAGAGTAGTGGATATTATTAAAAACAGCTAATCAAGTTTGGAAGAAGAGTTTCATATGAACCACGTATCTAAAATATCCAAATGAAGAGGAATTAAACTGCATGATTGATTTTAATTGCTGAGCAAGTTGTTAGAAAGTGATTATAATAAGCATCTATCATCAAATAAATGCTTAGCTTTAGGATAGATCTTAGGCTGGGGAAAGGAATTTCTTCTTTTTATTCTTAAATATTCTGAAACAAGTGTACAATCCTGAATCTGTTCTTAGCCAACAAAAGAAGATAAATGGTGATATAGGGAGATCTAATTAATTCCTTTTAGTTTTCTTCTATTTGAGCTAGTCATCACTTTGT